AACATGTAAAATGCACTGTTGCTGCTGTTAGGTGCCACTGAGTCAGTTCTGACTCATAGTGACACTATGTACAACAGAACGAAACACTGCCCAGTTCTGCACCATCCTAAGTGAAATGCTTAGAATGGTACCTGGGACCTTGAAAGCACTCAGTAAAAATTAGTGACAATGTTAGTTGTACATGGTTGCCAGTCTAGAATGGTGGCACTTTTGATAGTCAACACCAGGCGTACTTCGAGCCTGGGTCTCCTTTGCAATAATAAAGGAAGATCATCAGGAGGATTTCATCACTGAAGTTTTTCATTCATAAGAACTTCAGGACACTTGAACTCTCCTAAATCATGTTTTTCCCTTCCCCCTACCTGCTTTTCCCTAAATGTCTGGTCTTCATTAAACTCTTTGGACTTTGTTTTATACGAGTATGTGTGTGTGTGCTTTATATGTGTATATGTGTGTGTGTGTACTTGTGTTCTAAATATATACAACTCAGGGAGGTGAGAAAGGAGAGCCTTTGAAAAGGCCCCAAGGTGATTGGTTATAGGAGGGAGGCGTCACTGAGGTCATTTACTCAGTTACATAAATGAACTATAAGATAATTCTCTGAGTAAGATGAATCATAATAAACTAGGAAGATTATATTGGATGTGCCTGAATCTGATAAAAAGTGTCTTTAAAGCTATCTTTTATCTTTAATGTGTCTACTACTGTATGTGTTTGTGCATTGAGAGAGTGTGTGTGTGTGTGTGTGTGTGAGAGAGAGAGAGAGAGAGAGAGGGAGGGAGAGAGAGGGGTATCACGGCAGGAGTTTCAGTCATAGATATTTCAAATATTCAGTTCTACAACTCCAGGAGGTGACGTTCACCCCAAATAAGATGACAAGGCCTTGTATTTTGTTATATTATTGTTTTATGAATTTTCTACAAAAGGTCAAAACTCTGTTTCTCTTGATTTAAAAAATAATGAAAACAAAAAATTACAGAGATATATGTGGTCATAAAATGAAGAGAAGGCATTTTCTGCCATGTAGAAAGAAGAAAAACAGATAGACCCAATATTAACGCTTCTGTCTTAGTAATAAAAATTTATCTTGATACCGGCATATCAACCCAGCTCATATCGTCGAATATTTGTGGTGACTAACAACACACACACACACACACAAAAGAAAAGAAGGAAAGGAAAAGACAGAAACACTAACACACCTTGATCGACATTCTGACCACGTGTGAAATAAACACAATCTTTAACATTTTAAAATGAGTTCACAATTTAGGTATATGGATGTTCATTGAAATGATATTTATTATGAAAACTAGACAGAACCAAAATGTCAAGAAAAAGACAGCTGGAGAGGTGAAATAAAGCATTTCCAAACAATAGAAAATACACAGTCACTAAAAGACAGATCTCTATATATATTTACTGACATGGAAAGATGGTCATTATACATTGTTAGATGAAAAAAGTCATTTACAAAACAGTATGATCCCATTTTTTGAAAAATATGTATTTATTTATACTGATACATGTCAGTGTATGTGTAGACTATGTATAAGAATGAGAGAGATGGAAATAAGCTCAAAATATCAATAGTGCTTATTTCTGTGATATGGGATAAGGGAGATTTTTTTCTTCCTTTTTTATTTCTATTTGTATTTTGATATTTCCTTCAGTTATCATGGATTACTTGTGTAATAATAAATAAAAGTAAACTAGACACCAGTATACAAATACATATGTACACACACTTACACATACTCGTAGGCCTTAATAGAAATTCACCAAGTAACAATGCTTGAGTAACCTGTTACAGTGGCATGGCTCCAATCATATTAGCAAATGTTAATTTAAGGAAATAATTACCTATTAACTATTGCAAAATTGCAAGAATGGTATCAGTAACCAAAAACGTTCAAATAAAAGCATATAACATAATTGGTATTAAATAATATAACAATACATTCAGTTCCTTTTTCCATTTATCTATCCCCTTTTTATCCCCGTTACCCATCTTGATAATTCTCTACGTCAGTGGTTCTCAAGTGGAGCAATTTTGCTCCCTAAGAGGCATTTGGGGATGTCTGGAGACATTTTTGGTTGTCACAACAGGGGTGGGGCAAGAGCAGTGCTTCTGGCATCTCATATATAGAGACCTGGAATGATGATAAACATCCTACAATGCACAGGACAGCTCTCCACAACAAATTATCTGATACAAAATGTTAATAGTGCCAGGACTGATAAATCCTGTTCTAGATAAAAAGAACAGGGGTAATAGTTATATTAGGGATATGTGTTAGAGATAGGAGGATGATAAAAGCTTTCCCATATGGAAACCAGCAAACTAGACTCAGCTGTGTACAAAGGACAACCATGTAGGTGTACCTGCCATGTGGTCCTCTTCTAGTTCTTTGTTATATTTTATGCTTAGCAGAGGTTTTGTATCACACGTACCCTAGTCTTTCCATATTGAGAGATTTGTAGAGGTCTGCATACATAAATTTGTGTAATCGCAATGACAGGACAATTGTAACAGACAGACTGTAATGATCACAATAGTAATATACATACACGTTCTCCTTTGGGGCCTCTATCTCCAGGCTTGCCCATGATGCCCTGAAAAACAGATGTCAACACTAGAAATCACTGCTTGCCAAGATGCTTCATCAATCTGGTTGATCTAAACGTTAACAAGTATTCTGGATGCAGTTATGCATTTGAACTTTTATTTTAAATGGTATTTTCCATACCTGAGCACCTGGTAATCCATCTTTTCCATTTACTCCCTGTAAAGAAAAAAAAAAGATTGTTATTTCTAATTCGGCATTAACAAACATAGTTAAACACAACCAAAGGGTAAAGTTTCAAGGACAGTTTCTTAATCATATTTTTACTGACATCTTGGTGAGGCAATGTGGTGAAATGGAAATCAAAATTGACAGAACCAGACATCCCTGAGTTCAGATCCTGGGTTTGTCACTTATTAGTTCCATTGACCTTGCACAGTTTACCTAACTTCAATAACAGTAGCTTCTTCACTTATAAGTGAGGATAATAGTAACAATGGCCTCAAAGCTAAGGATTAAATGAAATAACATGTAAAATGCATTGTTGCTGCTGTTAGGTGCCACTGAGTCAGTTCTGACTCATAGTGACACTATGTACAACAGAACGAAACACTGCCCAGTCCTGCACCATCCTCATGATCGTTGTCATGCTTGGCCCATTGCTGCAGCCACTGTGTCAATCCATCTTGTTGCGGGTGTTCCTTTTTTTCGCTGACCCTTTACTTTACCAAGCATGCTGTCCTTCTCCAGGAACTGATCCCTCCTGATAACATGTCCAAAGTATGTGAGACAAGGTCTCGCCATCCTTGCTTCTAAGGAGCATTCTGGCTGTACTTCTTCCAAGATGGATTTGTTCATACTTTTGGCAGTCCATGGCATGTTCAATATTCTTCGCCAACACCATAATTCAAAGGTGTCAATTCTTATTTGGTCTTCCCTACTCATTGTCCAGCTTTTGTATGCATATAAGGCAATTGAAAACACCATGGCTTTGGTTAGGAGCACCTTAGTCCTTAAAATGCATAGCCAACTGTAAATAGTCACAAAGGTTATTTTCCTTACTTATTCTCCCAGGAGGTACATTCTAAGAAATAAGTGCGTGCCCCACGGCACTGGTGGCTGGTATATGGCATTCATTTTTACCTTCTAATAAGTTTTCTGGCACAAAGACTCTTTCTCTGTAAATGGTCTCAGTTGATTCTGGGGAAATTTCATTACATGGCCAGAGCATGATCCTGCTATGAAATAAACTGTCAGCCAGAGAATGATTATTATTTTTCAGTTGGAAAACACCAAAGGAAAGCAAGAAATCTGTAATTTCATGGCTTCTGAGAGTACTAAATAGTGACTTTTTATTAGAAAACTGGTATTTTCCTGAATTTTACAAGGCAGTTCTGGAGGTGGTAATAAAGCCCAGTCCTGCTCAGAGATTTATATGACTGGGAGAACTACTGGCTGGGAGATGTATGAAGGAAAAACACTTGGGGTCAAATCAAATACCTAGAGTCTAACAGTAGATGTGTTTTTGAGATTTGATTTGAAGAGGGAGATCAAGGTGAGGATAATGATTTCTTAGCCAGCAGGCAATTGCATGGACTTGCTCCTCTGAAAAGCCTAGGAGACTTTTATTGTGCCAGAATGGATTCTATGAGGATGGAACTGCACATAACCGCATGTTTTCACTGCTATAAATTACACTAAAATCTGTCACAGTTGATAACCCAACCAAAGTCCCCCACCCTCTCTAAAGCATCCTGGGAATTATCTAGAGTACTTTAACTAAGAACAGGTTACCTGAAGCGTACAGTTCAAAGAATTTATTACATCCAGGAACACAAGCAACAAAGAGAGAGCTGATTAAGGAGAGGATGTGAAAAAAGCAACTGTGTCACTTAAATAAAAGAAGATAAGTCTAGTGTAAAAACGTAATTCATACTTTTGGTAACAAAGTAAGAAAAGAAATAACCCTATAACCTTTTTTTCTGTCTTGTAATTCATCAAAGACTATCATGCATGCTCTCTTTTGTATATGAAGGTGTTAATAACTTTCTATTTGTAGGGTATTTGCTTCTCTCTCCCCTTCTCACTTTTTCCCATAGAATCCCAATCCCAGGTAAAACTAACTTTCTGTCTACCTTAGGTCTGCATCTGGGAAGCTGGCTGCAGCTGATCTTAAGGATCCTTGCTCACTTGCTCCAATCTAAATGCATGACAGCAGATTGAAAGCAGCACCTCACATTACCCAGCCATCCTTCTATATTCCCTAGTCGACTCCCTTTCCTTCTCCCCAAAAGTACTCTTTCTCACATTTTCCAGTCTCTTCAAACTTCAGTATCACCTCCTCACTCCTCACATTCACAGAGAAAATAAATACAATTAGGAAAGAACCAACTCACCTTCCCTCCATGAGATCCACCAACCTGTGTGCATCTGTAACTCAACTTGAAGCTCCCTCCCTCCTGTTAAAAAGGATGACCTGCCACTGTTCCTAGGTAAAACCAATTTCCACTTATAAGTGGACTACCAATCTCACCGCCTCTGCACCGCTCCTGGCCACTCAGAATTACCTTCATTCTCTTGTATCAATCAAATTACCCCCTTTCAAGTGGATCATTCTTATCAGGATACTAACATGCTGTCATTTCTCCCACCAATGGCCTCCAAATTTCTAAATCCTATGGAGAATTATCAGACCTCATGTAGCTTATCTGTATGTTTATGACTCCTTCTTTTTTAAATACTTTCTTCACTTGACTTCCAGGAAACCCCATTCTCCTCGTTTTCTTCATATCTCACCAGGTACTCCTTCTCAATCTTCTTTGCTGGTCCTTTTCCTAACAGTGAAAGTAATCTCTTCCCTTCCCTATCCATAGTGACTCCATTTTGTCCAGAAAAAGAATTAGCTGCCATCGAGTCAATTCTGAATCATGGTGACCTCATGTGTTTCAGAGTAGAACTGTGCTCCACAGAGTTTTCAATGGTTGTGATCTTTCGGAAGAAGATCTCCAGGCCTTTCTTCCAAGGTGCCTTTGGGTGGATTTGAGCTGCCAATCTTTTGGTTAGTAGCCAAGTGCTTAGCCATTTTGTGTCACCCAGTGACTCCATTTAATTACCCAGAATAGTCCCTCCAGCCCTGCTCTCTCCCTGAATTCCAGATGCATATATCCATTGTGTATGTGACATTTCCACTTGGATATCTCCTAGGTACTCCAATATTAACATGTCCAACAGAGAAAATTCTTGGTTTTCTCTCCCAAACTCACCTATCTCCAGTCTTCTCATCTCATTATTTACACCACTCCTCTCACATAATTGCTCAGGCCCCAAACCATAACTTTCATTCTGCTCTGTCTCTCACATGTCACATCTAGTCCATCAGCAAGTCCTCCTGGCTCTCCTTCAACGTACATCCTAAATTCCTCCACTCCTCAGGACGTCTCTGCTCTCACTGTCATTATTTCTCATAGGGACTATGGCAGTATTTCCTCACTGCTTTCTCTGCTTCCACCCTGCTACCTACAGTCTGTTCTCCACACAACAGTCGGAATGATCATTAAAAACGTAGTTTGATTATTTTCTTACCCTGCTACAAATGTTCTAATGGGTTTCCATCACACTTCAAATGAAATCCAAACTTCATTCCATGGCTTAGAAAGCCCTGGCAGCTGCCTATCTCTCCCTCAGTACCTTTCACCACTTTTCTTTCACTTATTCATTCTTGACTTCATGCCTTTTGCTGTCTTTTTGAACACGTCAGTCTCATTCCTCAGCTAGCCATTTCTTTTTCCTGAAAAACATTTCCCTAGACCTCCCTATGGCTTAAGCTCTCACTTAAGTCAAGTTTCTGCTCAAATGGCAAATCTTCTTTAACCATTCTATTTAAATGGTGCTCTAGCTTAGGTCTTCTTCTACTTGAAATGCGTGTGTGTATTTATCTGTTTGTTTGTTGTCTCTGTCCCCATACTCAAATGCAAACTCCATGAGGTTCTAGCACCCAGAACAGTGCCTGGCATGTAGTAGGTGCTCAGGAAACATTTGTTGAATGAATAACCCACTTTTTGCATAATTCTCCCGGGGACCCAATGGTAAGCATTTATAGACGGATTTCAGGGGTTGTGGTCGGGGAATTGGCAAGAGGAGTTGAGAGGAGGAGGCAGGGAATGAAACTAAAATTTACTGAGCACCTCCCACAGCCTGGCACTGTAAGCGCTTTCCATATGTCATATCAGTTAACCTTCACAGAAACCATTTGAGTCAAAATTCAAACCCAGATCATCCTGACTCTAAACTCCACGTGCTTTCTACTTGTCCGTGTTGCCTCCTCTGCGCAGATGGTGGCCAGGGACTGTATCGACCCTGAAGATTTCACAGAGGTACTCAACTAGCCTCATGAGCTCCATGTTGCTTGTTCACCCTCAGTCCTCCCCTCACCTAATAAGCCCCTCTTGTCCATACACAAGACAGCGAATAAGCAAAGGAGCAGTGACCTTTGATAAAGAAGGAACCTGAAGATAGAGGTATGTCTCATTCATCTTTCTATCCCCTCCCTCAGGGCTCAGTACATACTTGGCAAACAGCAGGGACTAGATGAATATATGTGAATTGAATTAGTAGGAATGACTGTTGCAGTGTCACATCGATACTATGTATCAGTAACCAAGGGCTCCTTTAGGACACAAGGGGATGATATGTTTGGCAGCAGTGATTTATGAAAGTGTAAAAACAAGGCCCAGAGAAAGAGGAGGGAATCTGAGAAAAGAGCTTCTGTTTTAGTCTTTGGCTTAACATACAGGTGTTATATCTGTGAGCCTTTGGTTTCTTTACACTTTAGGATGTGACAGGCCATTTTGTTTTTTAACTCTGCTGAGTACATTAGACTTAAAAAATAATGAATCTAATTTTCTGGTATTCAAACAAAAATTTCACCCTTTTTACCCTTATTTCAGACATAAATATACCTCATAAAGAGCTAGGACACTTAGTGAGAACCACCCTCCTATTCCTCCAAAATATCCATTTGTAGAATCTGTTCCCTGGAAACTACTTATTCAAAGCTCTGATTTTCTGAGGAGATAGGCAAAGAGGCAATGGTTAGAGTGTTTCTCAAATTGGAAAACTTTAATAGCAAAGAAGTACTTACTGGTTTTCCTGAGGGTCCTTCTGGTCCAGGGAAACCTATATCTCCAACAGGTCCTCTTTCACCCTATAAACATGTTCACAGACAAAAGTCAGTTACCAAGAAATGCTTTAAAACTACATACAACTGTTAAGAAATTTTAAGAACGCAAACTGTTAAGAGGCAACTCACTGGTTCCCCTGGGACTCCTGGAGGGCCTGGAGCTCCAGGCTTTCCCTGGTGAAGCAAATCAAAGAGACATTTTATAAGCCAAATTACTGAATGACACCACATGCTTCCATTTCCCACCTGAGAACTGAATATGCTGCCAGGGCTGTGGGTCTCTGAACTAAAACGGAATTCCTAATGGAAAAAAAATCTGTGGGAATGTACATATGTGTGTATGGTGGAGGGCAAGAAGGAAGGATAGTATTTTTGAAAATATTAAACCAACGTTTTCTCATTACTGGAAATCCCCCTTGTGCCTATGTGCCTGGCAGCTCTTCTTTACTTCAGGGGTGGGGAGGGCACAGAAGGACAAAGAAGCCTTTGCTTGGCTTTAAGTTTCACAATAGAATTTGTAAATTCATAATAAGATAGCTTGAAAGCAAGCACATTTGATTTGAAAAGCGACATTTTGTTGAGAGGGAGACGAAAAGATTGGTTTGTTCCAAGAGGTCATAGCCTGGAAGATTGACTATAGAGAGAGAGTGGAGTAGAGAGAACACAGGGTAGGGACCATAGAGGATGATGGTCCAGCGGAAACTGGAAGTGGCGAAACGCCAACATGTCCAGACCAGGCTTAAGAGGCTGCCTGGGTCTCCAAGGAGCCACCTCCCACCCCTTGGACTTAATGTGGTTGGTAAAAGTGGACAAGGTGGGGATGTAGGTATGGGGCTGAAACCATAAAAACCCCAGTAGGGGGAATCTGAAAAGGAGGAGCTTTTTCCCACTTGCTGTTTAGAATTCTGGGAGGAGACCACCTCACAGGCACAGTTATGGGTGAGTGTGGAGTCTAGGCAGACACAGGCCTGAGAAAGCATTCCTGGCACCCACAAACTGTGTGTGTGAGCAGGCATTACCAAAGTTCCTCTGGGTCTGAGTTGGGGAATATTGTAGAATTGAGATGATCAATACCCAGAAGGGTCTTGGAGGGGGCACAGGGGGTGTGGGGTGCCCAGGCCTTGTAACCTGAAATGAAGAGATCACAGGGACACTGGTGGCAGGCAGCAGCACGCCCAGAGGTCAGGTAGTACCAGCAGAGGCCTCAGAGGACCTGGGGAGAACATGCTGACCAGAGGCCCCACCCACTGTCAACACTTACAGAAGCTTCCTCCGGTGTACCCATATGCCATCCTTTGAGAAGGGTCAAAGAAGCCCTAGAGAAATCCCTGACAGGACTGAATATGCTAGAAAGGGACAGACTGGTCTGTTCTTGGAAGAGCAGGAGTGTGTCCCACAGCAGAATGACTGCGATGTGTCTGAGTGGGCAGGCCTCATCCCTGCTTCAACCAGAACAGTCTGCTTTTAACTATTTTATATTTTGAGCCACAATAAGGTTCAGTTATAAAAAATGAAAGTTCATTTTTTAATTACATAGTTGCATACTTCTGTAATTATAAATGAATTCTTTCAATTATGAGATACGGAAACTGCTTTTTAAGGGGTCAGAACACTCTTTGTTTGGTACCAGATCTTGTCCAAGAATATATTAAAAAGCATAATTTGTATCGTTCAGTGAGTAAGGAAGGAATACTGGGATTATCCTGACTCCTTTGCAGAAAAATGCTGCAGAAGTTGTCGTAAGAAACTCTACACCATGGTATTTTGGACTTCCCTTTTGGGGATTTGAAACAACCTGGGTGTCAGTAACTGGGGAAAGGACTTGTGATTTTGTTTCATAAACTAACGCATAAAAGCTGGGAAAAAAAACCTAAACTAAACTAAAAGTAAACATATCAGATCTTAGACATCCAAATAAGTGGCAGGTTAATTCCTTAGTCCTATCATGCTGCAAGGATCCCTGATGGCACAGTGGTTAAAGCACTCTGCTGCTAACTGAAAAGGTTGGTAGTTTGAACCCACCAGCCGCTCTGCGGGAGAAAGATGTAGCAGTCTGCTCCCAAAAAGATTTATGGCCTCGGAAACCCTATTGGGCAGTTCTACAATGTTTTATAGGGTCACTAAGGGTCAGAATTGACACGACAGCAGTGGGTTTTTTTGTTTTTATCGTGCTGCATCCTGTAAAGATTTCTTTGGAACTTCTCATTTCGATTGCCTTTTAAGGCTGTAGTACATCTTTTAAATTATTTTAATGGTGGCCAATATTTTCTCTTGAAGGTAGATTTAATTTAGGGTGACAGGCAAAGGTAATTTGTAGTCACACCTGGGTGAATAGAATGGGGAATTAAGCTTCATACCATGTGGAGATAGATATGGGATATAAAATCAAAAGAGGCTTCTCACCAAAAATAAAATGGCTGAACTAATGCTAAAGCTTAGTATGTAACTTTTCACACAAACTCTGTTGCTTAGAAATCAATCTTATTATTACGGCTTGTGGTTAGGCTAAGACTGTGAATTTGTAACAAAATTTTATCAAAAACTCTTTGTGTTAAATCCCCCAGGAGATCTTACGCTCTTGGTGAGGCACTGTTTAACAATCTGTTCCCTACAGTATCGTCATGCCAATGTCATGCGATTGTTTTATGAAGACCATGAGATCCCCCCACCCCCGCGCCCCAACCACCAAACCAAAAACCTGTTGTTGTCGAGTCGATTCTGACTCTTAGCGACCCTACAGGACAGAGTAGAACTGCCCCATAGGGTTTCCAAGAAGTGGCCGGTGGATTCTAACTGTCAACCTTTTGGTTAGCAGCCAAGCTCTTAACCACTGTGCCCCTAGGGCTCCATAGTTCCTTATACAGCAGTATAACTATGGGTCATTTGTACCCCTCCTTTGGAATCCATGAGTGTTAGACCCTGAGGTTTTCATGATTCCCTCATTCGAATGATATACTGACTTCAATAAATCTCTTTGATTTTACTTAAATAGAATTGGAGAGTCTTTTCTTACAACAGGACAAAAACAGGGTGTGACTATAACGGGGCCAGGTTGTTAAGTGGACTCTGAGGGCAGTTCCAGAAACAGAGTTCCAAATCCGTTGCTAGCAATTGTAGTGGGGAGGGGCAAGGGAATGGGAATAAGTGGGTAGCCTACTTTCAAGAAGAATTAAAGAAAAAAAAAAAAAAAACCCGTTGCCTTCGAGTCGATTCAGAATCATAGTGAACCTACAGGACAGAGTAGAACTGCCCCTTAGGGTTTCCTAGGCTGAATCTTTATGGAAGCAGACTGCCACATCTTCTTCCTGCTGAGCCACTGGTGGGTTCTGATCGCCAACCTTTTGGTTAGCAGCAGAGCGCTTAACCACTGTGCACACCAGGGTTCCTTTCAAGAAGAATACTTACTGTATATAAAATTCTGAAATGCTTGCTAAAGAAGACATTTTGATTTTGCCTTTACTGTCATACTAATACTTAACTATATCTAGGGGGTAAATAAGGGGATGGCATCCTCTATAAAGTTTACAGATAATGGATGGATTTTTGTATTTTATTATCAGACTGAGTAGTTAAATGAGTGAAGTAGAATGGCTTCTGGCCCTGTAAATGATGGGGGTAGTGGGGCTTTTTTTTTTTTTTATCTTTCTCATGTTCCTACGATTCAAGCATAGGGTTTTCATTGACTTTCCTGTGATGTTATCCTGGGCCTACCCTGCAGGGGCACCTAGCAAGAGGATAAATGGTCACTAACTCATAAAGTGTGACCACAAAATTTTAATTAGAGCATCATGAAAGAAGATCAGAATGATCCCTAGGGCTCAGGGAAATGATTTCAACCTTTCCTAGAGTACTTCCTACTTATTTGAAAAGACCTTGATGAGATTAAAACATTTGACACCAGAGAGTAACAAAAATGATAGAAAGGATTGAAGGGCTAGTTTACGAGGAAACATTAGCAGCAATAAAGCTCTGCTAATAGCACCTGGCTCAGTGAGAACTAGGGTCCCTATGAGTCGGAATCAACTCGATGGCAATAGGCTTTTTTTTTTTTTTTTTAAGGGAAAACTTGGATTATAGCTTTGTACAAGGAACTTGAAGAACATGGTTCAGGGTGAGAACTTTGCCTTTTGAGGCTCAAGAAACCTTGAAATATACTGAGAATACAGAAATAAAACAAATTTTTCAAAGCTGTGCTTGTATATTAATGTATAGTCATAGGTTAACGGGGCTGTAAAAATTTTTTTTCTTCCTTAATGAAAGAAAAACCAAAGAAAAAATAAGAAAAAGGTGAAAATAAAGAATGGAGTATTCTTGAGGTGGGAGAGGGACAAGTGGTTTTATTTTTTAAAATGGGGATTACGGAAACCTGCTGCCACAGGAATTATGATGTGTTCCCCAGTCCTTTTTGTTCCTTGGTGGTAGGTTTACAAGGCACCCTGGTGATGCAGTGGTTAAGTGCTCGGCTGCTAACTGAAAGGTTGGTAGTTCGAACCCACCAGCCGCATGTGGTAATATGCTTCTGTAAATATTACAGCGTTGGAAAGCCTGTGGGGCAGTCCTACTCTGTTCTACAGGGTCACTGTGAGTCAGAATCAACTCTATGGCAGTGGAGTTTTGGGTAGATTTACTGTGGAGTTTGTTATTGTTAGTTGCTGTTGAGCTGATTCTGACTCATGGTGACTCCATGTGCTGGAACTGTTTAACTGCAAAATGAATGTGACATAATCTGGACTCACCGAAATCCCGGCTATTCCTGGGGAACCTGCTGGGCCTCGATCTCCCTATTAAGATAAAAAAATACATATATACCATTTTTACCTGTAAAATTAATGCTCAAATGACAATTTGGATTTAGTAAAGCTTTTCTTTGGATCGAATAAGCTTTATCAATATCAGCTGGTCTGAAGCTAGAGAGTGGATGGGAGAATAATAGAATGAGTAGCCAACTGGACCTGTTAAAAGTTTCTTTTTTTTTCATAAAACCAAAGTGGATAATAGTCTTAATGAAAATACGCATTCATGTTATCATTTCTTATTTTTAATAAGAGCCCACAGATATTTAGAACTAAAATTAGTCAATATTTTTATTCCATATATTCAAAAGGTTATTTCTATTACTTAAAAGATTAAGAACGTTGAGTATCTTCTAAAAAGCTTTTCCTACACTTGTCTCATTGGAGAACCCAAACCTCAGGATTAGAATGAGAAGATCTAGAGATAAGGATTTTGTCCGTGTCATAATCCGCCAATCAGAAGATCCCTTCGAGTGCTCTCAGTACAGTGACACAACTCTTTTTTAAGAGGCAATGTAGTGTTTTAGATAACACTGACAACGCTAAAAACACAATGGTTATATATGAGATAATAAAATGGCAATTTTTGTTGAGCAGAACCTACATTAAAGTAACTTCATAATTTCACCAAGGGACACAAAACAAGACTTGATTAAATGGAGAGATATGCTTTGTTCTTGGAGGGCAAGACAATGCTGTAAAGTTGTCATTGCTTACCCAAATTACTTTATAAATTTAATGTAATTCTTACAAAATTCCAACTTGATCAAATGATATTAAAGTTCACTCAGGATAATAAATAAACAAGAGGATAAAAGAATAAGAGATACCAGAAATACTAAATATTTAAACATATGATAAAGCTATAATAATTGAAATAATGGAATACTGGCATGAGATTAAGCAGTATACCAATGCAATATAATAGAAATCTTAGAAACATACCAGCATTTATAATAGGATTTTAATAAAGAATGTATTGTTCAATAAATAGTGCTAATAACCAGATAAATTTTTTGAAAAGATGTTTGATTCCTCTTTTTTCACTATATCCCATATAAATTCCATATAGATTTATGGAAGAAACTATAAAGAAATGAAAAGAAAATATAAGTGACTATCTGATCTTGATTGAGAATGAGGATAAAAGTTATTTCATGCATAAAAGCAAAACAAAAATCATATAGGAAAATAGTTATAAATTACAAATTTTACATAGACAATATTAAACGCAAAATTGAAAGGCAAAGACCAACTAGAAAATAAAAAAACTCCAACATATAAAATAGAAGTAACATCTTTAATACATAAAATAGCTACAATCAAAAAGAAGAAGAACCAATCTAAAAATGGGCAAAGGATGTAAACAGGTAATTCTCATCCATTTCACTTTGTTCTTTTTAAATTGTGGGGTTTAAGTGAGTAAACTGGAAATTTTCATTCAATGGAAACATTTGCATGTTTGATAAAGACTAACATTAAGAGGCTGTTCCTTGACAGGATGGTCTTTCCAACGTTTGAGTCTCTCAGTTCCTTGAAGCACTCTCCCCTCATGGATTTCCCTTTTATTACAATAGTTATACCTAAGACCTTGTCAATAAAAACCCTTCGTAATCTCAGTTTCATGCATCACATCATCAGGTCACCATCTCCCATTGTTCTAGCTTATCTCTTGAGTATTGTGAACCCCTAAAATTTTTGATGCCCCCAGGACCTCTAATCAATTGATGCTACCATTTTTTCATTATCCTTCACTGCCTTGATACTCTCTCTCCCCTCCTTACCCAGATTAAATTCCATGGTCAATTGTTATAATCAATTTTTTGTGTAAACTGCTAACTCTCTTGCTCTATTCTTGCTTCTTGTAATTACTTGTCAAAAATAGAAACTCGATTAAATCCAAACTCCCCTCCTATTCTCTGCCTTTACTTGAGTGTCTGTACATGGCTATAGAAGCACGCATATTCTCCCTGACTGGGCTCACTTCAGTTCATGACCATGAACCCTAAGAAGTCCCTTAGTGCTGCCCCTCATCTCACTTCTGTGGTCAATGAACTCTTCCTCTCTCCTGGAAGACCTTCTCCTTAAACCCCCAATCTCTTCTCCCTACTTCACTCTCAGATGATGACCTTGCTTCCTTCACCTCTGAGAACATTTAAGCAATCAGAAAAGAACTTCCATAGACCCTCACCAAGACATCTTCTCAAATATCAGCATCTGCACCCCTATACTCTTGTTTTCATACCTGCTAGGAAAGCTCAACTGTCCATGCTCTTCTCTGAAGCCAAACTCTCCATTTATACACTAGGTTCCTTTTCCTCTTACCTATTTAAGGACAATTGCTCCAGGAATTCTCCCCTCTCTTTCCTATATCATTATTCCTCCTCAGCCCTCTTTTAGAGGCAGATCCATGCCCGGATCATTCCCTTAGCGTACAGACACGCTGGTATTTCCATTACCTTAAAAACCATCTTAAAAAGCCTTGACCCCATTTCTTCCACCAGCCACTGATCCATTTCTCTGCTTTCCTTTGCAGCAAAACTCTGTGAGTGTTGTTTATACTGTACTTGCTGTTTCTAAATATTTTCTTCTCATTTTCCCTTAAACCCACTCAAGTCTGGCATTTTCCCTGCCAACATAGTAAAGTAGTAATAATTTTTCTGGTTATGGTCATCTGAGACCTCTACATTGCTAAATTCAAAGGACACTGCTCAACCCCCTTCTTACTTGACCTAATCTGCAGCATTTGAGACAGGTGATCACTTGCTCCTCTCTGATACATTATCTTCACTTGGCTTCCGGGAACCCAAGTTTTCCTGCTACCTTCTCAGTCTCCCTTGCTTGTTCCTATTCTTATGGACCTCTTAATGTTGGAGGGCTCAATCTTTGGTCCTTTTCTCTTTTTTTAAGTGTACACTCATTCCTTGGTGATTTTATCCAGTCCCATGGCTTTAAGATACCATTTATATGCTTAAGACAGCTAAATTTATATCTCCACTTAGACTTTTTTCACAAACTCTATATTTTTATTGTATTACCTACTTAATACTTTGGCTTTGATGTCTAATAAGTATCTCCAAAATTTGGCTTCATGTTTAAAATTAAACTCATGATCATCTTTACCCCCTCCAAATCTGTTCTGCCTATAAAAACCAAAAACCAAACCTGTTGCCATTGAGTCGATTCCAACTTATAGCAACCCTATATGACGGAATAGGATTGCCCTATATGGTTTCCAAGGAGAGGCTGATGGATTTGAACTGCTGACCTTTTGATTAGCAGCTGAGCTCCTAACTATAGCCTTCCTTATTTCAGTTGATGACCATTCCTTCTTTCCAGCTGCTCAGGTCAAAAAACTTGGAGCCTTACTCCACTCATCTTTATTCTCTCATACTCACATCCAATCAATCAAAAAATCTTGTTGGCTCTTCCTTCAAAATATATTGAGAATCTAACACTTCTCACTACCTCCACTGTTTTCACTGATCTGAGCCCACATTAACTCCCACCTAGATTACTGGAATAGCCTTCTAACTGGCTTCTTTGCTTCTACCCTTGCTTTCCAAGTGGAGGCCCTGTCACACTTCTACTCAGAAACCACCAGTGGCTCCTGTTTACTTAGAGTAAAAGATAAAGTCCTTAATATTGTGAGTAAGCTTCCCTATTAGAGCTTCTCAAACTACCTGTGGTAAAGAAACAGATTATTTACTTATTTATTTATTTCCTAATCCATCATGGACCAGGATGAGTCTATTGAGCGTGGGTTTGTTTATCATGGCAAAGTCAAATTGCTAGACAAGTTTTTAAATGCTTACTCTCAATTTCTGTACTTACTTTGTCACAGGACCCATAACAAAGAGTTTGCAGGCTGGCACTGGCCCTCCGCCAGCCACACTTTGAGTAGCATAGCTCTATATGACCAGGCCACTTCTTCCCCTCATGCCTGTTTCCCCGGCCTCATCTTCTATTCCTCTTCCCAGTGGACCCACTGGTGTCCTTGGACACAGCAGGAGTGCTCAGGGCTTTATGACCTGCTGTTTTCTCTTCATGGAATAGTCTTCCTTCAGATTTGAGGAAGCTTGGCTAACTCCTCTCACCTCCTTCAAGTCTGTTCAGATCTTACCTTCTCAGACCATTCTATTTAAAATCACATTCATTGCTCATTCCCACTCCTAATTCCCCAACCTGCTACGTTTTCTTTTTCTCGGTAGTAATTACCAACAATAATTTTAGTTATTTATTATGTTTAGTCTTTTAGATTCTGTATCCCCTTTCTAGAATATAAGTTCCATGAGGGCAGAGATGGCTGTCTGTTTCATTCACTTATATATCCCAAGCACCTAAAACAGTTCTGGCTCTACAGTAGGTGCTCAGTAAACATGTGTCAAATGTTGATTGAATAACCTATGTGCTTACCTTTACACCTGGAAATCCTTCTAGTCCTGGCAACCCCATTGGACCAGGTTCTCCCTGTTAAATTTGAACATAGGAATTGCAGGAGCAACGATTAAAAGGTTTTTAAGCATTGGTTTCAAAGACAAACTTTTTTTTTCCCCTGCCAAAAAAAAACACCCAAACAATGATTTGCAATTTAACATGTAAATGGTATGCTCTATTTTCAAGCATCTATATTCTTGGATTTGATGTTTGAAAATAGTTTTCGAATAAAAGCTATTCCCCAGAGAGGTATGAGTTTATTTTCCAATTAATTATTTCTATTCTGATTAAGAATCTAATCAAAATGAATCTCTCTCATCAGTGATAATTCCAATTTTAATAAAAATGAGAATGAAAGGCTGTGCTCGAAAAAAGTTTGCCAATTTGTGAAGTAGCTGGGGCTGCTAGACTACCAGAGAATGAGACTAAATTCTCTAAGAGTAGGTGAAGATGGAGCTCTCAAAGTAGTTCATCATCCTTAAATATTCTTTGCAGCTGGACATGAATTGTGACTGCTTGAGAAGATGACCCAAGGATGATCTAATGATTCTAAAAGTCAAAGCCAAGCTGATGGGTCATTGAGAGACAGGAGATAGATAAATGTTTTCCATTTTCTTTCTTTGTTCTTTTTAATGTTTTATGTTTTCTAGTGTATGAAACATTGTTTTTGTTAGGTGCTGTCAAGTCGGTTCTGACTCATAGCAACCCTATGTACTACAGAACGAAACACTGTCTGGTCCTGTGCCATCCTCACAATCCTTGTTATGCTTCAGCCCATTGTTGCAGCCACTGTGTCAATCCATCTTGTTGAGGGTCTTCCTCTCTTTTGTTGACCCTGTACCTTACCATGCATGATGTCTTCCTCCAGGGACTGGTCCCTCCTGACAACATGTCCAAAGTATGTGAGACGAAGTCTGGCCATCCTTGCCTCTAAGAAGCATTCTGGGTATACTTCTTCCAAGATAGATTTGTTTGTTCTATGGGCAGTCCATAGTATATTCAATATTCAAATGCATCACTTCTTGTTTGGTCTTCCTATTCATTGTCCAGCTTTCACATGCACATGAGCAACTGAAATACCACGGCTTGGGTCAGGCGCACCTTAGTCCTTAAAGTGACATCTTTGCTTTTTAACACTTTAAAGAGGTCTTTTGCAGCAGATTTTCCCAACGCGATACATTGTTTGAGTTCTTGACTGCTGTTTCTATGGACATTGGTTATGGATCCAAGTAAAATGAAATCCTTGACAACTTCAATCTTTTCTCCGTTTATCATGATGTCACTTACTGGTCCAGTTGTGAGGATTTTTGTTTTCTTTATGTTGATGTGTAATCCACACTGAAGGCTGTAGTTTTTGATCTTCATCAGTAAGTGCTTCAAGTTCTCTTCACTTTCAGCAAGCAAAGTCGTGTCATAGGCATAAAGCAGGTTGCTAATGAGTCTTCTTCCAATCCTGATGCCCCATTCTTCTTCATATAGTCCAGCTGCTTGGATTATTTGCTCAGCATATAGAGTGAATAAGTGTGGTGAAAGGATATAACCCTGATGCCCACCTGTCCTGACTAAACCACGTAGTAGCCCCTTGTTCTGTCTGAGTAACTGCCTCTTGGTCTATGTACAGGCTCCTCACGAGCACAATTAAGTGTTCTGGAATTCCCATTCTTTGCAATGTTAGCCATAATTTGTGATGATCCACACAGTCGAATGCCTTTGCAAAGTCAATAAAACACAGGTAAATATCTTTCTGCTATACTCTGCTTTCTGTCAGGATCCATCTGACATCACCAGTGATATCCCTTGTTCCATATCCTCTTCTGAATCTGGCCTGAATTTCTGGCAGTTCCCTGATGATGTACTGTTGCAACTGCTTTTGAATGATCTTCAGCAAAATTTTACTTGTGTGTGATATTAATGATATTGTTCGATATTTTCTGCGTTCAGTTGGATCATCTTTATTTGGAATAGGCATAAATATGGATCTCTTCCAGCTGGTTGGTCAGGTAGCTGTCTTCCAAATTTCTTAGCATAGACCAGTGAGCACTCCCAGTGCTGCATCCATTTGTTGAAACATCTCAATTGGTATTCTGTCAATTCTTGTTTTTCACCAATGTCCTCAGTGCAGTCTGGACCTCTTCCTTCAGTATCATCGGTTCTTGATCATATGCTACCTCCTGAAATGACTGAACACCAGCCAATTCTTTTGGTACAGTGACTCTGTGTATTCCTTCCATCTTTTGATGTTTTATGCGTCATTCAGTATTTTGCCCATAGAATCCTTCAATATTGCAACTTGAGGCTGGAACTATTTCTTCAGTTCTTTCAGCTTGAGAAATTCTGAGCATGGTCTTCCTTTTTGGTTTTCTAACTCCAGGTCTTTGCACATGTCATTATAATTCTTTACTTTGTCTTCTTGAGCTGCCCTTTGAAATCTTCTGTTCAGCTCTTTTACTTCATCATTTCTTCTGTTCACTTTAGGTACTCTAAGTTCAAGTGCAAGTTTCAGAGTCTCTTCTGACATCCATCTTGGTATTTTCTTTCTTTCTTGTCTTTTAAATGACCTCTTGTGTTTTTCATGTATGTCCTTGATGTCATTCCACAACTCTTCTGGTTTTTGGTCATTAGTGTTCAATGCATCAAATCTATTCTTGAGATGGTCTCTAAAATCAGGTGGGACATTCTCAAGGTCATACTTTGGCTCTTGTGGACTTGTTTTAATTCTCTTCAGCTTCAACTTGACCTTGCATATGAGCAATTGATGGTCCGTTCTGCAGTTGGTGCCTGGCCTTGTTCTGACAGATGATATCGACCTTTTCCATTGTCTCTTTCCACAGATGTAGTCGATTTGATTCTTGTTCATTCCATCTGGAGAGGTCCACATGTACAGTTGTCATTTATGTTGTTGAAAAAGGTATTGAAGGAGTCATTGGTCTTGTAAAATTCTATCATGAGATCTCTGGCGTCGTTTCTATCATGAAGGCCATATTTTCTAACTACCAATCCTTCTTCGTTTCCAACTTTTGAATTCCAATCACCAGTAATTATCAATGCATCTTGATTGCAAGTTTGATCAATTTCAGACTGAAACATTAGGACTTGTAAATCAAGAGGGATAAAGTGAGTACTTTCTTGTTCATAAATTAGTTAATTTTTTTTCTTAGGATAATGGATAATTTGAACATGATCATGTAGAAAAGAGAACTTCCAAACTTCATTCTCCGTGAATGCATTTTTGCACACATAATTCTGATCTGCTTCAAAAATATTACCAAGGTTATAACTTCCATTATTATTTATGATATTGTCCTTATTATAGAATATTAAATGAAGAAGCATATGAATGATACATTTTATAATTTAATAATCTTTTTAAGTGCCTCTTAATATGTAACCTGTCAATCAGGAAAAAAAAAAAGATTCCATTCTGCATAAAGCTCTGTAAAAGATGCCCTGGGTTACTGACAAAGGAAATAAGCTCTCTGACTTTCTTTGTTTACATTCTCAACAGTCCTTAGGACAGAGAAGGTGCTCAGTCAATAAATATTTGTGTGAAAGCAGCTGATAATTATTTAATTGAAAGTCACTTATAAACTGAATACCAAAGGAGCAAAATGGAGTATTTCAGAAGATACTAAATTCTATTAATGGTAATTTTCCTCTATAAAGGTTTACTGAGAAGATTAGACATAGTGGTGCACATCCGTCACCATGGGATTTGAAGGATGGTGGGAGAGTAAGTCTCCCCCCACCCATCTCAAAATGACTTTTCAATTTTCTACTCTGTGACCTTCAATTTTATCATTCCTAGCTTATTTCTATGGCATGAAATATTATTTCTCTGTACTGGGAAACTTGTGGGAGATGAAGAGACTTGCAGGGTGGTGCTGATATAGGATCCCAAAAAATATTTTCAAATTTATCTAGGATAAACCTGAAGGTTTCCACAGTATTTGTTTAATTTTATGATTCCGTATTTCTGTTTTTGTGCTTCCTCCGCTTAATTCACATCTCTAAAAGCAAGAAACACCCTACAATTAGTTTTAATTCTTCATCTTCTGTTATAGCTAAGAAATTTGAAATTTAATCTCTTCAAATTCTACAGAAATATTTCTACATTTTTGTTGCCACCCACTTCCCAGTCCAAGTGAATTATAATTTATTTTTTTATTCTAACACTTCAAAAAAACTTTCTTACTTAATCTGCAGCTGCTGATGCAAGAACTTGCGAGAAAGTTCCAGAAAAGTCAATGAGAAGTCTAGGTGCACCTAAATGAGTTAGAGGGGCTGTATTGTGTATGAGACGAAAGTATAAGATGGAAAGACCAGGAGGAAATGTTTGTAGTTGACAAGATAAAAGAAAATTAAAATTATAATGAAGGGTATAGTTGTTGACATCATGAAAAAAGTTACAGATAAAGGAGACTTCTAAATCACATATTTGGGTTTGGAATATGGTACTAACTAGTTGAAAGAATGCTTTCAGGGGGATACAAATTGGCTTTAATAATATACATTGCCCAATAGCTAAAGTTCTTTAACGTAAGTCCTTTTTAAAATATATTTAGATGTGGAAAGATTGCTTTTTATGGCTTGTTCTTTCACTGGTTTAAAATTTATTCATATAGTTTTAGCAAACTATACCATAATAATTGGGCTTTCAATTTTTTTCACATGACAATGGAAAATGAGTTGAAAGTTTATTTCAGTTTCAGTTTCTTCAGGTCTATACCCAAAGGTCAAAAGGATATACAAATGGAATATGAAGGATGGAACGTATGCTTGAAAAGGACATGACAGAAAAAAATGCCAAGGAATAAAGGGAATCTGACTGAATTTGGCAGAACTTTTATGGTGAAGCTCCATGGCTGAGAAGGATGCTGAGAACAGTTATCATCGTTTGGGCGGCTGGAGGACAAGATCTCCTTACATGCTGAGTGTTAACCTCCTGATACATTACTCCTAACAAGCTGGTTTATGACAGCATGCCATGTCTCCTATAGAATAATTGCCTAAGACACTCAAAGCAAATAAACAGTCTCTTTCCTTTTTTTTTTTTAATTGGGAAGAGGGCAGGCATATTTAGGAATTTTTCCAGTAAGTATTTCTCTTAATCACAATCTACTTAAAACAGAATCAATCATAGAAAGAGTGCTATTAGAAGAAAGTGCCTTATTTATCAGGAGCTTTACATGTGTCTCCCTCCATCACAAGATGATTTCTAAAACACACTGATGGAAAGAGAGAATCTCAACGGCAGTGACAACATCAGGCTTGGGAAAGGGCAGACTCATGCATCTTAAAAATGAAGAACACACTGCTGGCATCTCTTTGGAGCCCTGCCCCTGTTGACTCAGACACGTTAATTGATGAATACCTTGGAAGGCAGGCCGGCCATTTTCACCTGATACTCTTCTTTCAAATTTTAACAAAGGCCTATTTTCTAAATGACACAAAACACGGAAGCATACTTACCACTGGTCCAGGATCGCCTTTTGGGCCCTGTAAGAAAAACATAGAAAATCAATCATTTTTTAACATAATGACTGAAGCAAAATTACAGAACACCAAGCCATTTTGTCCAATTTGCTTTACGACACATGCAAATATGTGTGAGTTTTGCTTTTGCTATAGTTTTGGATTTGAAGAAAAGATGAAGCATAATTTGATGGCACCCCCATGAAGATGACTGATTGGGCTGATTGATTCAGTTCTTAGGTTTACAATGAAAAAATGCTGTCCCTACGCAAGATGCTATTTATCATTGCTTTGACTGTGTGCATTATCTTCATTTTATTATAATGGCTGTCATTTATTCTCTCCTGCTACGAAATTTTTGGTTATAGTCGTAACATGGATTTTTCAGTGAACTTAGGAGTTTTTTTTCATTGTGGCTGTTGCGAAAGTGTGCTTGGTGACGAACAACTGTACTCACTGGGGGACCAGGTGGCCCTGGATAACTGGGAACGTTCACACTTCCCTTCAAGGAAAAGAAAAGGAAGAGAAGAATTTACACCAATCCATAACTAGAAAAGGATTTTAAATAATTATAACAGCAAATACCTGGATTTTATATAAACTGCTCATTCCATTTCCTTCATTGAATGGTACACCCTTAGGAAAGAAATGAGATATAACATTATTCTATTAAGTTAAGAGCTGGCATCTCTATCTTTTACCTTTTTATCAAATGATACTATTCTGATCCTACTTTAGAAAGTGAGTTTAATACTATAAGTGAAATAATACAACGTTTCCATTTTTAGCTTTTTAAAAGCAACTGTAGGGGCAGAATGAAAGGAGTGTGAGCTACACCTGCAGCACACAGATACTTTCAGTAGGGGTTTGATTAATGCTCAGATTTGACAGATGAGACACTAATGCATTCAGAGAAAAATATTATTTGCTCATTAAAATTCAGTTTCTGAATTGCCAATTTATGCTAACTGTTTACAGCCTGCTAACCTGCCGGCTATGATGTGGTAGTGCTGATGAAGATGTGAATAGGGAACAATTTGGCTACTGGGAAGTAATTCTTTTTTTTCCCCATAGTCTTTCCATACCTAATAGAAAATTAAGGTAAATCGGGCAGATGACATTACTCACAACCTATGTGAAAGTTTCTACAAAAACATATGTTTTTGAACAACGGGGAACAAGAACTTCGTAAGAAAACTGACATGAAGAATATAAAGTCCCAGAGTAACCAACACTTAAAGGCAATGAATTCTATAGTCTTAAAAAAAAATCATACATTTTAGCATTCAGGAAAAATATCTATATGGAAATTTTAGTTAAGAGTTTTTATCCTTCTTTTTAAAAATTCCCATAGAATCAATAATTAAATTGCATTTTCCTTTTTGTGATTTCCACATTTCAGCTGCAAAATTGAGGGAGCCATCATTTCGCTGTTCTTGGGTAACATTTTTAGATACTGAGGTGCTCAGTGATTTGCACACATCTTCAAACACTGGTGATGGAAGGAAAAATGCTTTACTCATTTATTCCTTTATTATTTCACTCATTCGACAATTACTGAACGTCTACAGTATTTCTGTGTGTTAAATACTGGAGAGATGAAGGATGCTTCTGAGATTTTCAGAGAAAATTTCCCAGAGAAGACAACATTTAAACTGTATCTTGAAGTATGAATAGTTTTGGAGGATTTAGATGGGAAGAGGAAGACTTTTTAAGCCAATAATAAAAGCATAGGTCCCTTTCATGAGTTCATGTTATATTTACTATTCTGTGTACCGAGGAGGGAGTGCCTGTTAGGATTTGAGCCCCAAATGTGTTCTGCCCTGCTTCCTTGTAAAGGAAGGAGACAAGTAAACCAAGCTGAGGAACAAGTTTGGAAAAGCACTGAGCGCAAATCTTTGTTTATGTGTGCATTTACACTCAGGCTAAGAATACCTGTTGCCTTTGGAAAGTCACAGCTGAATTCCTATGAGGTAGAGTGGAAAAGAATGTTTGGCCTGGACCTAAGCTCTGCTGCGGTTTGAGTGTGGCCCCACACGAGGGCAGACTTGCTCCAGAGAGCGGCACCTCTGTTCTCCATAGCCTCCCTGACAAAGTGCGCATCTGTTTCAATCATGAGCATAAAAACATCAATGGCTCTTGTATATTTTGTTCACTAGGTGCTATATAAATAGAATTTCCTTGCATCTCAGACATCTCTGATGGGAATGAACACATACAGCATAATACCAAATCTTCTACCAACTCGTACTGCCAGAAGGGATCTCTTTTTATAGGCTCTCTTTTCTATGAATGAGGCTCATTGAAGTTAAATGGCTTTGCCTGGGTTCCCCAGGCAGGAAGCAAGAGACAGGCACACACTCAGGTCTCCAGAGTCCTCAGATAGGGAGGCCCACAGTATGCAAGAATGAGCACTGCACATTGGGGCTGAGCCAAAGGGGAAAAAACAATCTCCCCAAACCTACATTGGCTATTGTTTATATTTGTATAAAAAACGCTTACGACTTTCATTTTTGAGAACATCTAAATGTAGTCTGACCTCCAGGTTATAAAAATCTTAAGTAAACACATAAATTTTAAGTTTTAAACCTGATACAACTCACAGGCGGGCCGGGTGGTCCAGGCTTCCCAGAGGGCCCCTCGCTGCCCTGCAAGGGATACAGACCAAAATAAATGGCTTAGACATTTCTACCCCAGGCTTATGAACCAGACTGTGCTTGCTCAGACAACCATCCTCTGAAATCAATACAATGTGTCATTTCATTTCAGCCTTGCAAAGTCTTATTCAGCTGGGCTCTCTCCTTCATCTGAGGAAATAGTTTCTAGACCACAGGAAGGGGAAATGCCTCTTCGCAGACCCATCTAGACACGTGTGTGAGCCTTAGGGATGAAGCTTATTCTTAGATGTTGCAGAAAACCCAGGCGACTATGTCCTGGACTTCAAGTGGCAGCTGGGTTGGGGGGGGTCTTTCCTCACCAGGGAGTGCTGAGCAGAATTCTTGCCTGCAGGTGGCAGGCTCTGGAATTGTGGCTCTCTTGGTCAGCCCTCACTTTAGCCTCACCTCCACCACCTTTGGAACCCTGGTGGCACAGTGGTTAAGAGCTTAGCTGCTAACCAAAAGGTTGGCAGTTCGAATCTACCAGCTGCTCCCTGGAAACCCTATGGGGCAGTTCTACTCTGTCCTCTAGGGTCACTATGAGTTGGAATCAACTTGACGGCAACGAGTTCCACCACCTTCACCTTCTGGGAACTAGAGGGGTTACCCATATAATTTGACTTGAGTAGAAAATCCTAACCTGTGTTACGTCTACAGGTGGAGGAACTTCTTCCATTTCCTAAGTTAATATCAGACGTTATAACCAAGTCAGGCATGTCTTGCGGAACAGAACTGACTGTGATACAACACTGTTTAAGGGAAATTTTCTTTACAATTTCAACAGCTTAGACATTTTCTTATTGAAAAAGCAGACCAGAAACAGAATTTGTGAAAAATGGATTCAAGTTGAAACTTCAAAAACGGAGTTTATTTTTATTTTTACAAAATATAGAATGCTTGTTTGTTCCATAATAAGTAGCACTATTGTCCCCTTGGTGCCTCTAACCAGTTATTCCTATAACTGTGCTTTTCTTTACAAATAATAGCCTCATAAAACCTTTTAAGTATCTCAATGGCAGGGGCAATGACAAGAAATAATTTAAAAAAAAAAAAAGAATTCAGAGGAAAATTCCTACTCATAACACTCAAGAATTTTGAGGGATTTTAGCCCATTTCCATCAATTTGATAAAGGATTTCATTCCTACTCCCCCTGCTTTTTAGTAACTAAAGAGAGCATCATAAAATTCTTGTCTGCATGTTTATCAATAAAGATAAACTGTCAAGTTTTTCTTGCTATGAACCCACCTAAGAATGTGTGATGAGGAATGAGTACGTTACATCTTTTCCTAGATGCTTTGATGGTGGCTGTGTCTCTAAGACATGTCACATTCTGATGACTGCTGGCCGTGTCCTTTATAGAATTACATCATAGTTCTCATGGGCCAACTAACAAGGAAAAATATGTGACTGTTGAAAATACTTTTTTCCCCCGGCACAATTAAAAGTCATATTTTCATCCTCGTTTGTGCCCCAAAGCTCATCTTGGTGTGGAATTCCCATTAACTTCAAAGGCAAATCTATGACTGAATTATTTTCATGGAGAACAGAGGAAAAAGCCTGGTGGAGTGGACAAGCTCCTTGGGATATTACCAGCAAAAAATGCGCTGAGGCTCTCTAGAATAAGCACATTGTTTCCTTTCAGATTTGTTGGGATCCCTTTGCTCCTGGATGCCATCATGCCCTGTTTTGGTCAGGGAGCTTTCACTGGGGTGGATGCCACTTGAGTGACCCCTGTGGACTCTTGATTCTTATTTCTCTAATATGAATAGCTACAATTATTTCACTCATTTGCTGCTGTGCCTGGACTCACACTATAGGGCCAATTTGGATCCTAAAGAAGATAAACAAGAGCAGCTCTATGGTCTTGCTGTCTGAGACTCCCCTATTGTTGGTCCCCACTTCTGACCACGGCAACTCATTTGACCAATAACTGGACTCCCCAGGAAACAAGGTGCCCTCATTCCTCAGTGAATTTCCTTTACGACCTTCGCTGTGAATTGAACAGTGTCCCCTAAAATGATATGTTGAAATCCCAACTCCTGGTATCTGTGAACGTGACTTTGTTTGGAAATAGGATTTTTGAAGATTTTTATCAGTTAACATGAGAGGTCATACTAGGACTAGGGTGGGTCCTAACCCAATATGACTGGCATCCTTATAAAAAGAGGAGAAAGAGACACAGAGATAGATGCAAAGGGACATCATGTGATGATAGAGGCAGAGACTGGAGTTATGCTGTCACAAATCAAGGAACATTGGGGGCTACCACAAGCTGGAAGAAACAAAGAAGGATCCTCTGCTAGGGGCTTCAGAGATAGCATGGCTCTGCCAACACTCTGAATTTGGACTTCTAGTCTCCAGAACTGTGAGAAAATAAATTTCTGTTGTTTTAAGCCATTATAGTTTGTGGTACTTTGTTACAGAGGCATAGGAAACTAATACCACCTTCTAGGGACAGAACTTCCAGGCTGTTTCACCAAACCTTTCAATTACTGGAATCCCGGTCATGATAGCGAGCATGCTGTCTGCAGCCTCGATGCCTGTGGCTGGAAGTACCCGACTCAAACCATCTTACTTGCTCCACTTCATGAGGCTTCCACCCACACCATCCTACCAGATGGGTGGGCAATCAGGACCCTGAATTCAATCTGGACTTTTGCTCTATCGCACCAAGGTTCTACTCATCCTTTTCCCTAAGGACATATCTCCTGTATTCAGCGAACTTTTGGACCTATGTCCTTCCAAGCCTATTATAAGAATAGTCATTCCCTGATGATATCATATCTGGAATTCCTGGGTGCTGCAAACAGTTAATGTGCTCCATTGTTAACTGAAAGATTGAAGGTTAGAGTCCACTTAGAGCACCACAGAAGAAAGGTCTGGAGACCTACTTCTGAAAAATCAGCTATTGAAAACCCTCAGGAGCACAGTTGTACTCTGACACACTTGGGGTCACCAGAGTAGGAGTCTACTTGATGCCAACTGGTTTTGACATCATATCTATTTTTAGGCTTTGCTTAACTTTATGGCTTTCTGTCTAAATGGTCTCACCCTGCCTCTACCCCAAGCCCCACTTTGGACGATAAGTGAGCCTTTTCCTCTGTACCTTGTCACCCTTTGCTCCCGCAGGACCAGGATGTCCAGTTCTTCCCAATAAGCCCTGTAAGACGAAACAAAGTTTGTTACAGAAACAACAACTAAACAACAAAAGAATACTGGATGTTGTTTGCTAAAACTTACACATTTTGAAGGTCATTTGATCCTAATTAAATCAGTCCTAAAAGCTTATATTCTTTAGGCTGATACAGCAGCTGTACCCTGCTGATAAAGCCCTTGGAAGGGTAAAATTTCTATTTGTGGTCTCTTTTTCACCTTGGCCAACCACATGTAATGACCTTAATTGGAACCTTTTGATACATTTAAGAATTTAGCCTTGCTGTTTAAATGGCAATTTACATAACATTATGCCTTCCTAAATGAGCTATAATTCTGGTAGCGATCAACATTTTAAATACTTTAAGGCACGGCAGAATTAACAATGTGCATATTGAGTTATGTGATCTGCATTTTACCAACGGACAACAAAATTTAATTTGAATTCTTCTTTGTGAGTAGAGTTAGCTATGTTTATCACGGTTCCTTTCACAACTTTTCCCCTTAACTTCCAATTTTAGTGTAGTACTTTAAACCAGGTTTGTTCTACATAACTGTGGAGATAGCATAAGTGGTAGGATTTTAATTATGGTGAATTCATGAGACAAAACATTAAGGCAGAGCAGGATCATGTCCCTATTTGCGTGGGAAAGACTATATCTGTATAGGAACTTTAAGGAGGGAGGAGTTGAAGAAGTTGAGACTTGAGGAGTGTTGTTAGATTTAGCAAATAAAAATGCAATATTTGTGATAAACTTATATAAAAAAATAGATTATCAGAAGTTCAAAATTTAACTAGTTGAACTGTATTTTATCTGGCAACCTTAGACTTGACTAAACTTGAATGAGAAGTTGGATTTGGCAGGTGGGAAAGGAAGAAATTCTGGTCAGGAATCCCTAAATAGAATTAACAGAAAAACCAAAGACACGAAGGCTGTGATGGCATGTCTGAGGGGCAATGAGAAAAATCCCCCAACTAAAGTAGAGTGTTATTTTTATTCAGAAATAGGGATAAAAATAAATTGAACCTGATAATCTTTGACACATTTTTTTCCTCTTGAAAACGAATTCTCAGCTTATGGTGCTTAAGAATGTGAGGCTGAACAGCTCTTCCAAAGGTTAAAACCAAAGAATTATAACTAAAAATCAGAATGCTCTTTTATATCCAACTTTAATTTCAAATAGACTAGCTTAATCACAGACGGCTCTCTGGTCTGGCAGAATTCTGATGATGAGTTCCCAGGACCCTGATCAGCCTTCAGTAACGCTAAATGAAAATCTGAGATGTTGGAAGACGCCTTTCTAGGCTATAGAATCTCCACACAGGCACCAAGAACATAAGGCAATGAAGAAGAGTAATTCACCTTGCACCATCCCAACAGATATAAGCTGTGAATGGAACTATTTTAGCAAATACTTACAGGGGGTCCAGTTGGTCCTGGAGCACCTGGAATGCCTGGAATTCCTTGAAGACCCTAGAAGAAACAGTTCCTAACCATATATATGTGTTTTTGGGTATCTGTATACGACACATATAAACACCCATTTTCAAAAAATAACAATGGCGAGTTAAAATACCATGACACAGAATCTGTAACAAATATAATTTAATGTTTTTTGTGTTTCATAGTGAATTTCTGATCTTACTGCGCCACCCCATCAGCAGTAGTATGACTGAGAATCCTGTACTGATAAAACGTGGAAACACAAATTCCTGATTTGCAAAATGCCATCCAAGAAATATATGATTACACTAAAGCTATGGCCTTCATTCAACTAGTGAGAAAATGCAATATGTTTTATGATATTTAGTTTAACTTGCTAATTCCTTATAAGAAGAAATCTGGCTCATCAGTAAATTTAAATTGGGAATCCTTTAATGGTTTAAGCATAAAGATGAATGGATTTTCCTTTCTTGCTCCCTTCCTTAGATTTGCAATGATGTTTATTTTACTGGATAAGGTTTAAGATGTTGACACATTTATATATCAAGTAAGAATTGTCAAGATGAACTGGTAACTTATGTTATTAATTTTGTTCTTTTGCCAAGTATGCCAGCAACAGGATAAAAGTTAAATAAATTACAGAAAATTATAAAATATTTTGCAACTATTTAAATCATATTCTAGAAAACTATTGGACAACATGGAAAATAAAAATGTCAAAATGTTACACAGAGTTGGGTTCAGATTTTTAAAAAGTTATAAATGCACATTATGAAAGATGAGAATGATAAAGAGAGGTCCATAATACCTTATCTAGAAAATTTAGTGCCACGAATGTTTCAGAATTTCGTATTTTAGATTTCTTTTAATAAAGGTAATACAGTGTACACACTGAATATAAGATAATATTCCCAGTGGCGTCTGAGGCAGCACTGTCTAATAAACACACAAATATTTCTGTAGCAAAACTTATGATACTCTCATGGAGTGGGATAAGCAGACCAACTCCACATGAGCACAGTTCAGATTTTGTTGCCAAATGAATTTGCTTCAAACTTAAGAAAAATTTTCAGGGTTTCCAGAGGCTTTTGGGTTTTGATATTGTGGATGAAGTGTTGTGGATCATAATATTACTATTACCAGCCGTCCTCTCTGAGCGGAGGGAACATGGATAACTTTTACCTTCTTAGTGCTTTTGTGTACTTCCCAAATTCCCTATAATGAATTCAGATCAGTTATATAACCAAAATATATACTTTAAAATTGTTGTTGTGTTGTTGTTGTGAGGTGCCATCGAGTTGGTTCCAACTCACAGTGACTCTATGTACAACAGAATGAAATACTACCCGGTCCTGCACCATCCTCACAAACATTGTTATGCTTGAGCCCATTGTTGCAGCCACTGTGTCAACCCATCTCATTGAGGGTTATTTCTCTTTTTTGCTGACCCTCTACTTTACCAAGCATGATGGCCTTCTCCAGGGACTGGTCCCTCCTGATAACACATCCAAAGTACATGAGTCTTGTCATCTTCACTTCCAAGGAGCACTCTGGCTGTACTTCTTTCCAAGACAGACTTGTTCATTCTTCTGGCAGTCCGTGGTATATTGGATATTTTTCGCCAACACCATGATTCAGAGGCATCAATTCTTCTTCAGTCTTCCTTATTCATTGTCCAACTTTTGCATGCATATGAGGTGATAGAAAACACCATGGCTTGGGTCAGGCGCACCTTAGTCTTCAAGGTGACATCTTTGCTTTTGAACACTTTAAAGAGGTCTTTTGCAGCAGATTTGTCCAATGCAATACTTCCTTTGATTTCCTGACTGCTGCTTCCATGGACATTAATTGTGGATCCAAGTAAAATGAAATTCTTAACAATGTCAATCTTTTCTCCATTTGTCATGATGTTGCTTATTGGTCCAGTTGTGAGGATTTTTGTTTTCTTTATGTTGAAGTGTAATCCATACTGAAGGCTGTGGTCTTTGATCTTCATCAGTAAGTGCTTCAAGTCCTCTTCACTTTCAGCAAGCAAGGTTATGTCATCTGCATATCATAGGTTGTTAATGAGTCATCCTCCAATCCTAATGCCCCGTTCTTCATATAGCCCAGCTTTTCAGATTATTTGTTTAGCATACAAACTGAATAAGTATGGTGAAAGGATACAACCCTGACACACATCTTTCTTGATTTTAAACCACTCAGTACTCCTTTGTTCTACTGGAACGACTGACTCTTGATCTATGTACAGGTTCCTTATGAGCACAATTAAGTGTTCTGGAATTCCCATTCTTTGCAATGTTATCCATAATTTATCATGATCCACATAGTCAAATGCCCTTCCATAGTCGTTAAAACACAGGTAAACATCTTTCTGGTATTCTCTGCTTTCAGCCAAGATCGATCTGACATCAGCAATGATATCCCTTGTTCCACATTCTCTTCTGAATCTGGCTAGAATTACTGGCAGTTCCCTGTCAATGTACTGCTGCAGCCTTTTTTGAATGATCTTCAGCAAAATTTTACTTGTGTGTGATATTAATGATATTTGTTCAATAATTTCTGCATTCTGTTGGATAACCTTTCTTTGGAATGGGCAGAAATATGGATCTTTTCCAGTTGGTTGGCCAAGTAACTGTCTTCCAAATTTTTTGGCATAGACGAGTGAGCACCTCTAGTGCTGCCTCAGTTTGTTGAAACATCTCAATTGGTATTTCGTCAATTCCTGGAGCCCTGTTTTTTGCCAATGCCTCCAGTGCAGCCTGGAATTCTTCCTTCAATACTTTCAATTCTTGATAATATGCTACCTCCTGAAATGGCTGAACATCAACCAGTTCTTTTTGGTACAGTGATTCTGTGTATTCCTTCCATCTTCTTTTGATGCTTCCTGCATCATTCAATATTTTGCCCGTAGAATCCTTCAAAATTGCAATGTGAGGTTTGAATTTTTTCCTCAGTATTTGAAAATACTCTTTTATTATTTCTGATAACCATATGACACATCAAGTTTGCAACTGAATAGTTTTACCCTTTCAGGATTTAATTTTCTCTACTGAATAAAAGCATCTTTTTCTATTGCCAAAATACTCTTTGTTATAATAAAATTCCCTTACCTTTTACTGTTATGAAATATGTATTTTTATACACATTACTAATATTAGATGAAGTGACCATGGTAAAATTCCTGTATATTTATTAATGACATTTCTATAGGATCAGTCATTTGAACAGAACAAGGGGATACTGCATGGTTTAAAGTCAGGAAATGTGTGCATCAGGGTTGTATCCTTTTACCATACTTATTCAGTCTGTATGCTGAGCAAAGAATCCGAGAAGCTAGACTATATAAAGAACGGGGCATCAAGATTGGAAGAAGACTCATTAACAACCTGCATCATGCTGATGACATAACCTTGCTTGCTGAAAGTGAAGAAGATTTGAAGCACTTACTGATGAAGATCAAAGACCACAGCCTTCAGTACGGATTACACTTCAACATAAAGAAAACAAAAATCCTCACAACTGCACAACTGGACCAATAAGCAATATCATGATAAACAGAGAAGACTGACGTTGTAAACGATTTCATTTTACTTGGATCCACAATCAACAGCCATGGAAGCAGCAGTCAAGAAATCAAAAGACACATTGCATTGGGCAAATCTGCTGCAAAAGACCTCTTTAAAGTGTTCAAAAGCAAAGACGTCACTTTGAAGACTAAGGTGCACTTGACCCAAGCCATGGTGTTTTCAATCGCCTCATTTGCATGTGAAAGCTGGACAATGAATTAAGGAAGACGGAAGAACTGATGCCTTTGAATTGTGATGTTGGTGAAGAATGAACAAATGGACTGCTAAAAGAATGAACAAATCTGTCTTGGAAGAAGTACAACCAGAATGCTCCTTAGAAGCAAAGATGGCAAGACTTTGCCTCACACACTTTGGACATGTTATCAGGAGGGACCAGTCCCTGGAGAAGGACATCATGCTTGGTAAAGCAGAGGATAAGCGAAGGAGAATAAGACCGTCAATGAGAAGGGCTGACACAATTGCTGTAACAATGGGCTCAAGCATAGCAACAACTGTGAAAATGGCACAGGACTGGGCAGTGTTTCGGTTTGTTGTACATAGCGTTGTTATGAGTCAGAACCAACTCAACGGCACCTAACAAGGAAACAACACAGGACCATGGGCTAGATCAAGGTTCTCTGCATCAACGGGATCAAGGATCAAGTTCTGCTAGTCTTGTCTATGCAATGCCAAATGGGATCATATGTTACTTTAGGTATATTCATGTGATACAATATGAAGAAATGCTCCTTAAACGTGATGGAATTCCCCACTTAATCAAAGCCTTGGGCAAAAGCCTGTATATGCAGTGTCAAAGAATATGGGTATGTGTTCTTTCTTCAAGATTATATCATTCGCATGGGCAATGCTCTGGGTCTGTGTGTATGTGTGTGTGTGTGTGTTGTCTGTGCATGCGCATCCCTGACGTGTGTGGCAAAGGGACTGTACACATGAGTATGACGTATTGGCTCTTTTTATTCCCCTACCATTAACTTGTTTATGAGTTTATAAATGTAAAGGAAACAAATTTCCTTTGGGAGTGGTACCTCTAAACTACTGGAGATTATAAATGCTATACCACAAATTGCTTTATCTCAAAATAGTCACATTTCCATAAAATTCTCTCTCTAAGTACATGTATAAGCTATACATACATACTTCTTTTTCTCATTCAAAAATTTTTATTTATTTTTGTTGTGTTTTAGGTGAAGGTTTGCAGTGCAAATTAGTTTGTCATTCAAAAAATTATACTCAGATTGTTTTGTGACATTGGTTGCAATCCCCACAATGTGTCAGCACTCTTCCCCTTTCCCTTTACACCCCAAGTTCCCGGGGTCCATTCCTCCAGGTTTCCTGCCCCTTCCTGTCTTCTCTTTTTTGCTTTTGGGCAGGTATTGTCCATTGGGTCTTCTATATATATATTTTTTTAATTGATGTAATTAAATGGAGTTTACATTTCAAGTTAGTCTCCCATACAGAATTTCTTTTTTTTAACATACATCGTTATGACACCCCAACCACTCACCCCATTCTGCGACAGCACACTCCTCCCCTCCGCCCCTGATTCCCCATGAACATTCAACCAGCTCCTAACTCTCTCTGCCTTCCCCTCTCACCTCGGGACAGAAGCCGGCCCTTTGGTCTCTT